CATTTAGAGGACTCCCTCTGAAACACAGACCAAGCCCAAACTTGCTTAGCTTACGAGAGCTTCTAAGATCACAGCCAACGTGGAACGGCTGCAGGTGCTGGCAGCACCCTCCATTCCGCTTCTTAACACCGCCAGCCTTCCAAGCTCTCTTCCCAGTGCTACACCAGCCCTGTCTTAGCCTTGCAGCTTAACAGCAGGAGCTCCCCAGTCCTCGAGTCCCTTTGAATTGTTCCCTTGTGATATCCGGCCCCGATACGGCCTGCTCACAGAAATCCCAGAGCCTCTGTCCCCAAAAGAGCTGTATGCCCCAGTTTTAACTTAAACCACAGCTCCTGTAAACCACACAGCACTTGTGAGCAAGTATAATAAAACAAAAGAAGGTTTATTTGAGAAAGAATGGAGATCCAGCTAGAAACAAGAGAGTGGTGGGAACAGATGGGTACAATACAAACCAAAATCATAAAACACCAACTAGGGCCTGCACTTACTAATAGTTCCCTTTCCTAGCTAATGAAGTAGGTTTTGTCTCCAAAGTTCAGTCTGTTGCAGAGCTGGCTGTCTGCCCGGGAACCAAGATCCAAACATTCATGAAACACCTCTGCTTAATAAGATGTCTTCTCAGTGAATGGATGCAGAGGGTCTTTCCCCACCCTGCCATATACTGAATCAGTCTTTTGGCTTTATTCCAAGCCATGGCAGTCCCCTTGCTGTTATAATGGTCCTTGGTACCTCCAAGTGGTAGTTTGTCTTTGATGGTTTTCCATCGACTTTGTTGGTGTTGCAGAAATGGACAATGGAGCAATGCATTATATAATGGGCTAGCCAGGGAGGGGTGTCAACTCCCTCCAGCTTGAATGGGCCATCACCACAACATACGATTCCCTGGTGACTCAGTTTCCCTCCAGTTCCAGTTAAATTATTCCTTAAATATCACCTGTACACCCATTTCACAACGGTTATGGGTATCGTTAAGTTACAGCCTTTCAGCAATGACCCTTATGGATACATACCACAAAAGTGATGTATTGGGTGCAGTGAGTGTGTCAAGTTTGAAACAGGAGTTAGCTCCTGTGCCCTCGATGACTCCCCTGCTGGACCCAGGCAACGCAGAGGAGGAAGCTGCCTGATTGAAATGCAGAGGGGACAAGAGACAGACCCCGGGAGAAGCAGGGGGAGAAGGGTGTCAATGCATGGATGAGACAATGGTGTAGGGGGAGGTTTTATTAGGAACCGGGGAGCCTTTTGGGACAGGAGGAGCCTATACAAGGGATGGGCTCCACTCAAACCAAAATGGAACCAGACTGTTAGCATGTAAAATTAAAAAGGTTGAAGAGGATTTTTTTAAACTAAGGGCTGGGGGAAAGCTGACAGGTGTGGAGGAGCACACGGTTCAGGCGGAGACATTTCTTAGGGATGAATTTATTAAAGGAGGAACTCCAGATCCTAGTAAAGAAGTCAGTAAAGTACAGGTAGGAGCTTGTGAGGAACAGCCAAACATAAACGTTAAATATAGCACATGAAGGCAAGCCACTGAATATTGACAAAATGTACAAGTGCTTATATACAACTGCTAGAAGTCTAAAAATTAAGATGGGTGAATTTGAGTGCCTGGTATTAAATGAGGCTATTGATATAATAGGCATCATGGAAACATGGTGGAATGAGGGTAATCAAAGGGACACCATAATACCAGGGTACAAAATATACAGGAATGACAGAAGAGTGGGAGTGGCACTATATAGAATCATAGAACTGGAAGGGATCTCGCTTGACCAATAAGTGTATAGCAGTAGGGACATACTACCAACCACCTGACCAGGATGGTAACAGTGAATGTGAAATACTCAGAGAGATAAGAGAAGCTACAAAGGCAGAAAACACAACAGTAATGGGGGATTTCAAATACCCTCATATTAACTAGGTACATGTCGTCTCACGAAGGGATGCAGAGATAAAATTTCGAGATACTATAAATGACTGCTTCTTTGAGAAGCTAGTCCCGGAACCTACAAGGGGGGAGGCAATTCTTGATTTAGTCCTAAGTGAAACACAGAATCTGGTCCAAGAGGTGAATATAGCCAAACCAGTTGATAATAGCAGCCATAATATAATTAAATGTAATATTCCTTGTAGGGGAAAAATGGCAAAGAAACCCACCACAGTAGCATTTAACTTCAAAAAGAGGAACTATCCAAAAATGAGAAAGCCAGTTAAACAGAAATTAAAAGGAATGGTCAAAAGGATGAAATGCTTGCAAACTGCATGGAGACCATTTAAAAACACCGTAATAGAGACTCAAATCAAATATATATCCCAAATTAAAAAAAAAACAAAAAACAGTCAGAGGGAAAAAAACGCCACCATAGCTAAACAGGAGACTAAAAGAGGCAGCTCCTAATGAGGAAAATAGAAAGAAGCATAAACTCTGGCAAGTCAAGTGTAAAAGTATAATTAGGCAGGCCAAGCAAGAAATTGAGGAATTAGCTAAAGACACAAAAGCTAACATTTTTTTAAGTACATCAGAAGCAGGAAGCCTGCCAAACAATCAATGGGGCCACTGGATGATCGAGGTGCTAAAGGAGCACTCAAAGAAGACAATGCCATTGTGGAGAAGTTAAATGAATTCTCTGCATTGGTCTTCACTACAGAAGATGTGGGAGAGATCCTCACACTCAAGTCATTCTTTTTAGGTGACAAATCTGAGGAACTTGTCCCAGATTGATGTGTCAGTAGAGGAGGTTTTGGATCTAACAGACAAATTAAACAGTAATAAGTCAGCAGGACTAGATGGGATTAACCCAGGAATTCTGACAGAACTCAAATATGAAATTGCAGAACTACTAACTGTACTATGTAACTTATCACTTAAATCAGCCTCTGTACCAGATGACTGAAGGATAGCTAGTGTAACATTGATTTTTTTATAAAGGAACCAGAGAGGATCCTGGCAATTACAGGCCGGTAAGCCTAACTTCAGTACCAGGCAAACTGGTTGAAGCTATAGTAAACAGAATTATCAGACACGTAGATAAACATAATACATTTGGGAAGAGTTAACATGACTTTTGTAAAGGAAAATCGTGCCTCACCAATCTATTAAATTATCTGAGAGTGTCAACAAGCGTGTGGACAAGGGTGATCCAGTGGACGTAATCTACTTGGACTTTCAGAAAGCCTTCAACCAGATCTCCCACCAAAGCTCTTAAGCAAACTAAGCAGTCATGGGTAAGAGCAAAGATCCTTTCATGGATTAGTAACTGGTTAAAAGATAAGAAACAAAGGATAGGAATAAATGGTCAGTTTTCACAATGGAGAGAGGTTAATCATCAGGTTCCTCAAGGATCTGTACTGGGACCAGAGCTGTTCAACATCTTCGTAAATGATCCGGAAAAGGAAATATACAGTGAAGGGGTAAAATTTGCAAATGATACAAAATTACTCAAAATACTTAAGTGCAAAGCTGACTGTGAAGAGTTACAAAGGGATTTTATAAAACGGGGTGACTGGGCAACAAAATGGTAGATGAAATTCAGCATTGATGAGTGCCCAGTAATGCACACTGGAAAAAATAGTCCCAACTACACATATATAACGATGGGTTCTAAGTTAGCTGTTACCACTCAAGAAAGAGATCTCGGAGACACTGTGGATAGTTCTCTGAAAACTTCAACTCAATACGCAGTAGTGGTCAAAAACGCTGACACAATGTTAGAAACTACTAGGAAAGGGCTAGAAAACAAAACTGAAAGTACATAGTGGAACTGGAAAAAGTTCAGAGAAGGGCAACAAAGATGATCAAGGGCATGGAATGGCTTCCGTACGAGGAGAGACTAGAAACACTAGGGCTTTTCAGCTTAGGAAAGAGATGACTAAGAGGGATGTGACAGAGGTCTATAAACTCATGAATGGTGTGGAAAAAGTGAATAGAGAAATGTTACTTACCTCTTTACACAACACAAGCACTAGGGGTCATCCAATTAAATTAATTAACACCAGGTTTAAAACAAACAAAAGGAAGTACTTCTCGCACAACCCACAGCCAACCTGTGGAACTCAATGACAGGGGATGTTGTGAAGGCCAAATGTATAACTGGGTTCAAACATAATTAGATAAGTTCATGGAGGATAGATCCATCAATGGCTATTAGTCAAGATGGTCAGGGTCACAACCTCATATTTCAGGTGACCCTAACCTTCCAACTGCCAGAAGCTGGGACTGGATGACAGGGGATGGATCACTCAAAATTGCCCTGGTCTATTCATTTTCTCTGAAGCACCTGGCACTGGCTACTGTCAGAGACAGGATACTGGGCTAGATGGACGATTGGTCTTCTCCCAGTTTTTATGTTCTTATGCTCCTACTGGGAGAAGTAGCCTGGTGGTGGGATACTGGATCTGGAATCTGGATGGGGGGTCAGGAAAAAGAAAAGAGGAGTTGGAGTAGGAGAAGGCTGGGACTGGCTGAGTAAAGTGACTAGGACTGGGATCCAGTGGTGTAGGGATTGGGAGATAGATCTGATGAGGAGGTGGGGTGCAGGGGGAGAATGAGGACTGATTGGCTAAAGAGACTGTGCCAAGGATTCACATGGATGAGGACCTTGGGGTGGGAGTCTGGAACTGGGAGCCAATGGGGATGGGGAATGTGGAGGGTGGCAGCAGATGAAGGCTGGGGTTGGGAGACAGGCAGATCAGATCAGGAACCAAGACAAAGGGAACTGGGACTGGGTGGGAAAGGGACTGGGACTTGGATGAGAAGCCTGAGGAGTGGAGACTGGGACAGGCTAGGTGAAGAGCATGGGCCGAGGACCTGCAGGGTGAGAATGGTGGATACACAGGGTACTGTAGCCCAGGAGGGTCCAGTCTAAGAGTCAGGGGATTGTGAAATTCCACCCCAGGATAGGTGAAAACACAAGGCCTGACTGCAGGGGGGGAGCACTTAGAGAGACCAGAAATGGGACAGAGGTGCCGCTCGCCCTGTAGCCCATGCTGACATTTCCTACCTTTTGAGTCCTCGACTTCACAACCTTCGTAATGTTCTTTTAATGGACCTTTGTGTGTGCAAGTGTAATTATGATGTCACAGATCAACAGCAGCCACTTAAAGATCATTCCGACCCAGTAGAAAATCCCACGATTCCATCCCTTCTGTATGGCTGCAGCAGGACACACCTGGAGAGTCAAATCAAGAACAATCTCTTGATAGATGACAGACATATTAGCAACTACATCATGTGTGGGAGCCCCTGAGCTGGGCAACTCACTCAACTGATTGATCCTTAACAAGTGATTGATGATCTGCCCTTAGGTTAAAACCCTACAGGGTAAATCCTAACTCCAGCACCTGGCCTGAGCAGCTGGGCTGAGTGCTGACCAGATGCATGGGAGATGGAGAAAGAATTCTTTCTCAGGCTGTGGAGCAGCTCCATGAAGGTGACTGCATCCCAGTGGCTGGAGTAGCCTCCCCAGCTCAAGCTCAGGGGTGCAAGCTCCGAGTGGCACTTACCTCAAGCAGCTCCCGGAAGCAGCGGCATGTCCCTTCTCCGGATCCTGTGAACAGGCGCAGCCAGGTGGCTCTGCACGCTGCCTCATCCGCAGGCACCGCCCCTGCAGTTCCCATTGGAGCGCTGGAGGGGGCCATTGGAGCACGTAGGAACTGGAGCAGGGCCATGCCACAGCTTCTGGGAGCCACATGGTGCAGCTCCTGACCCTGCGCCCTGGCTGGAGCACCAGAGTGGGGCCATGCCACGGCTTTCAGGAGCCGTGTCGTGCGGCCCTCAACCCTGTGCCCCGGCTGAAGCACCGGAGCAGGGCCATGCTGCGGCTTCCAGGAGCTGCGTAGTATGGCCCCCCGACCCTGCGCCTCAGCTGGAGTGCCGGAGCGGAGCAAGCCCCAGACCCCACTCCCCAGCAGGAGCTCGCGGGCCGGCTTAAAACAGCTTGCAGGCCGGATCCGGCCCGCAGGCCGTAGTTTGCCCACCCCTGGGATAACAGAAGAGTGGGCAGTGCCAGCAACAGGAGACAGAGACAGCTGGGGAGCTGGCCTGGAGGGAGAGTCAGTTAACGTGTGTGAGAAGAACAGGGTCCTTCCTGACTAATTTTCAGCATCGATAACATCCTGGCCCTCTCCTCCAGGAGCTGTTGCCCAGCGCCTTGTGTTTGTCCTAGTTCAGTAGTTCTCAACTAGGGGTCTGTGGTGAGCCAGTTTCAGGGGGTCCATGAGGCCCAGCACCCTACAAGGCAGAAGCCCCGAGCTCCAGCACCCCACAGGGCTAAAGCCCCAAGCCTCCCGCAAGCACAGTGGCTGAAGCCCGGAGTGACACCTCCCACCGCACTTGGGCCCTGGAGTTTTTATAGCATGTTGGGGGGGGGGGGGCTCAGAAAGAAAAAGCTTGAGAACCCCAACCTAGAGTATGAGCTCCCCAGGGCAGGGAAGATCTAAAGCACCTGGTAAACACATGGCAGCACCACAGAAGTGACTCTGAATGAGAAGAGCACCATCAGGGACGTGGAGCTGCCGAGGACAGGAACCAGGCTGGACCACAAGCTCCAGCAGAACCCAAGAGCAGCTGGGGGCACACACAGAAAGACAGACAGAGGGAGGCACCTGGGCAGATCTGTACCAGACCAGGGCCCGGCTACTTTCTCGCTGCACAGCGGGCGTGAAGGGCTGCAATCACCATGTGTTAAATAGAAGCATGAAGGAAGCTGCTGTCCCCACTCCTCCCTCTCTGTCAGAGCTGCAGCTGCGTGGGAAGCAGGGAGGAACAGAGCCCTGTATATTCATCCACTGACTAGGTTGTTCTCCCCAGTGGTAACTAGTGAATTCTGAGGAGTTGTGAACAGATGCAGGGGGCAACACTCCTCCTTGGTGTGGGGATAAGCCATGAACACCACAGCAGGAGAGACCCAGGTACCCACCCTTGTTAGGGACATGACTCCAACTTGTCCACAGAGATCGGCTCTGCAAAATGCTGGTATTCCGGTAGCACCTAGGGACCGCCACTGCGCTCGGAGCCCCATTGTGCTCTGTGCTCCAGAAAGACATGGAAACAGTCCCTGCGCTAATGAGCTCACTATGGAAAGAGACAAGAAACAGAGGTGCAATCATCTCCACGGGTCACACAGCATCTGCTTTAGACCCCAACCCCATCTCCTCTGCCCATGACCCTACCCACTAGACCACACAGCCACTCCTACATAGCAGTATAGTGGTTTGGGTCCTATGTAATCAGGACTATTTCCACACTCTTTATTTTTCCTCTCTCATTATTAATGGAAAAAAGCTAATCTAAGAAAGCGTTCCAGGGATCTTTATCTCAAGCCTTGAATTAGCCATCTCTAGCTGTACATTGCCAAGGGACCCTGATTAGCCGCTGCCAGCTTTCAGACAACACAGATCTCTAGCTCCCCAAAGCCAGACTCTGGAAGGGGTTTTCACCCTCTGCAAATGGATAGGAAAACGGATGTAGATTAGATCACAGCATGAGCCCAAATGTAATTAAAAACGAGAGAGGGCTAATCTTAGTGTGGGGGTGACTCCACAGACTTCAGGGAGTTTACGCCAGGGATGCATTTGGCCCCAAAGGCATGCTAGAAATACATGTAAAAGCTGGGCAGAGCTGGGACCTTTTGGACGGGCACCGGCATAACTGAGCTGCGTTTCCTTTGAGGTCTAAGTGGTTTCTGCTCTCAAGCAGCTGAGTTCTAATCAGAGCATTTATCACCACCTCGTACAGAAGGTTCCCAGTGCTAACCCCTGTGGCGTGCACGGCTATCACTGCAGGTCATTCCCATAGGCATCATTAAAGGCCTGATGCAAACCCATGGAAGGCAGCAAGAGGACACCTGATCCCTACATCGGGAGCTTGAGCAGACCCTGTGTTATCATGATCAATAAGCAATTGCTACATGGGATGCCAGAACAGCCCCCTAGACCCCACCTTGGGCAGCAGCTCAGGCCTGGCGCTTCAGCTGAAGGGAAGACTCCCCTAACACACCCAGCCAGTGGGCCGCTGCTGCAGATGGAGGAAGGGAAATATCTCCTTGGGACCCCTCTAGACATCAACTGTTGCCCCCAAGCATGAGATTGCTGACTGCCCTTATCTCTTAGCATTTGAAACTACAGGCAGGATCAGTCATCCAGTCATTTCTTCACTAGCAGGGTCAGTGCAGCCAATGCCTAGAGCTCCGCCTCACTCAGGGCTGGTAGCAGTGTGTCATGGTTACTGCTCACGATGGCGTCAGGTGGTGTGAAGTGCCTGCTGACTCGGATCCATGGCTCCAAGGCCAGAAGGGACCATGTGACCATCTAGTCTGACTCCCTGTAGAACAAAGGCCAGAGACCTGCCCCAGATAGTCCCTAAAGCTTTTAGATCAACATCCCATTTTGAGCAAAAAATGGTCAGCACTGGAGAATCCCCCAGGCCCTTTGATGCCGTGTTCCAATCGAGGAGCGATAGCAGCTCAAATCTGCACCCCAGAGGATCAGTGCCCTAGCCCCAGGGGGGAAGCATGGCCCAGTAGTTAAGATGCTTTCTGGGAAGCCACAAGACCTGTGTTCAATTTCCTGCTTTGCTACTGGCTTCCTCTTGCCTTAGGCAGGTCTCTTGGGGCTAGGCTCACAAAGGGGACTTAAGCACAGCAATGCCTCACTTCTCGGCACCCTGCTGCCCAGTGGGATTCACAGCCAGAGCTAGGTATCCAGCTTCCCTGTATAAAGCCTGGAGAGCATTAGGTGCCTAAGAATGGGATTCACAAAGGCTGCCTATGGTAGCGGATAAGAAATGCCAAGGAGAGGGGTGGGCTTTGTCTGATTCGGAGCAGCATCATAGGGTGGAGATGGGCTGCAGCCCCACAGGTAACAAGATCTGCTCACCTCCCAGGTGGGAAAATATTTTAGTCACATGACCAGAAAGATATGTGTCTCCCTTAGGCCGGGCCTGGGGTATGCAAAAGAGTGAGGGTGCCAGGCTGGACAGATGCTGGGGAAGCCGCAGCAGGATGCAGAATGCAAAAGGCTCCTGCAGGGAAGACCTGATGCACCAGGAAGTTGCACCAGCTAGGAAGGGCTGGGAGCGGCCTTCTAAAGCAGGGAATTGATTTGAACTGTGCAGACTTTATTTTGGGACTTTAAGTTATGTTCTGAGCTTTCATGTTAATCAACCCGGATGCTACAGAGGGCATTTAAACAGGTGAGGGGAAAGTGCGGACAGGCTACTGCGGTGCAGAACCACACCAGGCCACGAGGGAGCGCTCAGGAGGCAGTGACCTGGTTACACTCAAGGACTTGAACCCAGGTTTCCATTCCCCCAGATAGCAGGCCATTGGTCTGATTTGAAGCCGGACCGTCCTGTTTGTGTGTGGTTTGTCCCCTGCCTGGTACCGATATAAAACCAGACATGGTTTTGTCCTGTCTCATGCACGGAGGATTCTGGTTTGGAGACTGCACCGCTCCAGCATGGGTGGGGTCACGCAGGAGGGGGCAGGGACAACTGAGGGGAGGTTGTCCTGCGTTCTGGGGGTGTGTCCGTGGCCACCCTACTCCAGAAGAGTGCCCAAACCACTGGGCTACTGGCTAGATTAAGTGGGGTGGGGCAGGGTCTCTCAGTCTCTCCTCTGATGCTGTTTGACTTCTGTCTCAGTGCTCCAAGGTAGAGAGGCCAGAGCACACGGCTCAGGGTTGGCTTGCACATTCGTGGACAGGAATCCCTTGACATCCCTGGCTGCCTGTGAAAGGGGGGATACTGTAGCAGGCAGGGAAAGGCTTCAGCCCAGATGGCAGGTTAGGCCAAAGCCTTCACGTTGTAAGGCCCCAAATCTGTCACCTTCAAGAAGCAATGCTCCTGTTCTTACACACACGCTACTGATCAAGCACGAGCTGAAGGGACTGCAGCAGATAGACACCATTAACGCAGACCAGACAGAGCAGCACTGAGAAATCCCAGTGCAAGCTCTGCTGACACGCATGCTCTTATCGAGTACTGAGGCCCAGCCGTTGATTGCCTCATTGCACATCCCTTGCCTACGTCTGGGGCTGAGCATCAGGCCTGGGAGACAGGGATCCCGCCCGCTGCTCATTTAGCGAGGACACAGGCCGTGCAATGAGGCTGTGCCAAATATCAAAAGGCAACGATTCATGATGGCTGCTCATTAGCCACAGCTTGCGCAGGAGAGCTGAAGAAGTGCTGCCAACTCTCGGGATTTTAGCATGTCTCATGCTCTTTTCATTACAGTCTCAACTCCAGGAGTCATGTGATTATGTGAGACTCTCAGCTCTCATCTAAAAAACAAAACATGTTTCTAGCCCTCGTGGCTGAAGGGAAAAGGCTGAACATGACTCCTAAGGGCTCACAAGACCCCCACATTTATTATTTTTTTAAGTCTCATGATTTGGGGAGTTGGCATTGGCGATAGTAAGTTCCAGCCCACAGTCTAGTGGGACCCCTGGAGCCAAGTAATAATCACTAGAGGTTTCTCAGGTCATTTCTCTCCTCTTCCTTCTCTCTTTGCTATAGTATTCTTTACTGACTAGACTTCAAACATTGTGCTATTACCCAGCACATTGCACTGCAGGGCTTCATAAAAGAGGCAGGCCCAAACTCCTCTTCTGAACTCCCACAAACTTTGGGGCAGTGGGGAACGGTCTAGACTCCGAACACACATCTAGATTATGTGGCTGGCTCCTTCCTTCCAGCATATCAAACCAAACCCCCGGATCTGAGCACTCCTGAAATATAGGGGAATTAAATTCCAGATCATGCTTCAGGCCGCTTGTACTTCATGAGCAACAAGCAAATCAGTCATAACTGCCTTCCACCCAGACCCCCTTATCCTCCTCAGTGCATGATGCAAACCGCCCAGATTCATGAGTCTCTAAGAGAAACAACCTTGCTGTTTGAATGAGTAGCAAAAGGAAGGCAGGCTTGGCCATTCCATTGCCTAGAAGCAGGGCTCACCTTGGTTTGGATGCCTCTCACAATGACTCCCTTTTTGTCTCTGTTACCTTGAGCCTTCTCTCTGGTCTGGCGCACCTTGTAACTAATAAATGGCTTGCAACCGGCGTTGGACATGCCTGATGTATCCTGCGGTTTCTAGGGACATTGACTCGTTCTCTGTCTCCCTTCATGCTATTGACCATTTTGTTTCTGTGACTTCTCCTACCAGGGGCTTCACAGATGCCAGTCCAGGTTTATCCCACAGCTGCCTTGTCCGCTTTGCCCAGGAGCAAATGGATCCCCAAACACTCAGAGTGACATGACCATAGCAGTCAATGGGAGTCAATGGGGGCTGAGTCAGGCCAGTGTAGATGGCTATGGAACCACTCCCTTAATGACCAAGGCCAGGCAGACTAGACTGGCCACTTCTGCACAGCAATCACACAGCTTTCCCCTAGCAACGAGCAAAAAGAAAGGCTCTTTTGGACTCCTTTCAATAGCTTATTGCAGGGAAGAACGAGTCAAGTGGACAGCACAAAGCTCATCCAGAGGGAGCAAACCTGAATAAGTGTCTGCCAGATGGACTGTCAGACCTAAGAGGACTTTTCTATCCTCACGAGTCTATGAGCTACTAGTTAGCAGCTCCCTCTGGTTTCCATGCAGCATGTGGCCAAGACTCCCTCAGAGCCACCTCAATATTCATTGCGCTAGGTGGGGCTGGTCCATACGCTACCAGGCAAGACACTAGGGCCATCACCCCCATCCTTCCAAAAGTGCCATGGAGTCTTTAATGGCCATGAGTGCCCAGAACCTCCTGTTCCGGTCTCCTCAGAAATAGGGCACCTTCCACAGCACAGCACCCCCTAGTGTTAGGCTGGGGCATTGTGTCTGCATGGGGGTGAACGGGAGAGTGCCTGTAACTCACCATTGCCTGGGGATCTGTAGAAATGTAACAGGCTTCTATTGGAATTAGGGTGACCAGATGTCCTGATTTTATAGGGACAGTCCCGATTTTTAGGTCTTTTTCTTATATAGGATCCTATTACCCCCCCCCCCCCCCGCCCCCGTCTAGATTTTTCACATTTGCTCTCTGGTCACCCTGATTGGAATCACTCTTCAGTCCTGTCTGGTGCAATAGAGAATTCCAGCCTTGCCACGGGATTTTTGAAGCATCCTACAGAATTGCCTGGCAAGGACAGAATTCGCTATCCAGTTCTAGTGGCCAGCTCAGACGTGGCACCGCTGAGTGACTAGGGCAGGGACTGGGAGTCAGGAGACCTTGCTTCTATTCCCAGCTGGGGATCCTGGGCAAGTCGCTTTTCCCTCCCTGCATCTTATGTCTGTCGTGTCTAGTTAGATGTGAAGGTCTTTGGGGCAGGACTGTCTCTTAGTATAGGTATGTGCTCCAGCACGCACCAGCCTAACACAGGAGCCAGTCTAGGGCAACAGGCGACAACTGAGCAGCTGCCATTTGAATTCATTCCACAATGATGAGGCTTAATAGAAGCGACCAAGTTAAAAGCCAGGGCCTGCTTCAGCGGGCAGAAAGCCTCTGGTTTTACCAACGCTACACCACCGTCCCCACCAGGTCTTCGGCACTTTACAATTAATAGGCCATTGAGAGCAAAGGCCGGGGGCATTAAAAACGAAAGAGGTGATGCTGAGTAATGAACAGCTTTAGGATGTGGTTAAAATCAATGCTGCTGCCTTTAGCAGGAGGCACCTGAATCATTTAGAAAAGCCACAAGGATGGTCCTGAGTTCACAGGGAATTGCAAATGCCATTTAACTGTTGTGATTTACTTCTCCAGCAATCCCGACCCATATAGACCCTGACATGTTGGCCTGGCTTTGCACTGGGCTGCCCCCTGCTGGTACTGCATCCACTCTGCAGGGTTTATTTTCCCTCGCATTCTACAGATCTTGTCTGGCTCTTGCTTTTCCAGCATTAATCTGATCATTAGGGTCCGGGTGGGACTAGATCTTTTCCGGCACCAAAATTTCTGCTTTGCAGGAAATGTCAGGATTTCAAATTTTGTTTTCATCCTGAATCGGGACAAAACGTCAGCTTTCCAGATTTCCTGCCAAATGAAATGGTCGAAAAAAATTGTTGGGGGGGTGGGTGGGTGTCAATCAAAAAGTTTCATTGAGACAAAACTGAAACATTTCATTTTGATGTAATCAACAAGTTTCATTTCTAAGTGGAGTGTTTAAAACAAAATTAAATAATATTTCGTAATAAAACGTGAAACTAAAAGTCACTGAGAAACAAAAAGTCACATTTCGATTTTTTTTCTTCAAAACAAAGTTTCGCTGAAATCAGCGCAGGCCCGTGGAACATTTTGATTTGGATGAACAGGGATTTTCTGATGGAAACAACTTCCATCCGAACATTTTCAACCAGCGTTACTAAGGTTCGGCCTCCAGCAGGCGGTTAGCGGTACTGCTGTAGGGCGAAGAGTTTCACTGCTTACAGCTCATCTCCCCCAGCTTCAGACGACACCCAGTCCCCGCCAGCACAGTGCCAGGACTTTGAGAACATTACCTGAGGCACCTAAATGTCCATGTTTGGGCCCAAATTTCTAACCTTTGCTCCTGTCGCCTCTCCATCCTTTCCACCCGTCTTCTAACAATGCTCCGAATGGTACCAACTTTTGCGGAAGTCACTGAGAGAGGGGGGATCTGAAGGTCGCTGGAAGCTAGATCATCAGTGCATCAATTCTTTCACAGAACCAATAGGGGAGCAATTAAGCGGCAACTGCCCAAAGCATCAACCTAATGTTCAGTTCTATAAACCAAGAGAGAACATGGGTACAAAACAGCCCTGGAAATGACAGTTTGACATCGTCTGGCCAAGAAAAACAAACCAGTTGCCTCCAAACCACTTCCCCCCATGGCCCTGGAGCCTGATAAAGTGACAGATGTCACTAGCTGTGACAAGTGGACTTTTAGCAGAGGGCAACCTAATAATAGTCCCATTATCAAACAAGCTGACTCACTGTGCTGGCTGCTGAAGATTGGGAGGAAACCCAGGATTATTACCTGGAATTGATGCCACATTTACAGACCTAGAGACAATGGGTTCTGACTTTAATAGTTGCAGATGGAAAGCAGCTAAATCATCCCACTGCAAGAGCCACTTATAGTTCCCAACCCCCTATAACTCCAGACGTGCTGCATTTCATGACCCCGGGTGCAGGCCTGCTAACACCGGCCTTCTGAATTCAACCTTGGGGACCAGGTCTATGAAATGGAGACCCAGAATGTATATCTCCTTCATAACTCTGGCCAGCTCCTTGCTTTCTGCGTCAGCCTGGCTGTGCCTTCGCCTCCTCCAGGAGCTGAGTCCTTCACCAAAATCCTGGGACACCAGGAAGCTGCTCGCTGGAATCTGGCAGCCCAGAGACCCCCCAAAAGGATGTATGCTGCCTAGGTGTGCGGGGTGAGGATCAGTCACTGACTGCCCCAGTAAGGGAGAATGCCCAGAGGTTTGTTAAAAGAAAAGGAGTACTTGTGGCACCTTAGAGACTAACCAATTTATTTGAGCATGAGCTTTCGTGAGCTACAGCTCACTTCATTGGATGCATACCGTGGAAACTGCAGCAGACTTTATATATACACAGAGAATATGAAACAATACCTCCTCCCACCCCACTGTCCTGCTGGTAATAGCTTATCTAAAGTGATCATCAAGTTGGGCCATTTCCAGCACAAATCCAGGTTTTCTCACCCTCCACCCCCCCACACAAATTCACTCTCCTGCTGGTGATAGCCCATCCAAAGTGACAACTCTTTACACAATGTGCATGATAATCAAGTTGGGCCATTTCCTGCACAAATCCAGGTTCTCTCACCCCCTCACCCCCCTCCCAAAAACCACACACACAAACTCACTCTCCTGCTGGTAATAGCTCATCCAAACTGACCACTCTCCAAGTTTAAATCCAAGTTAAACCAGAACAAAGCTGTTACTCTGAAACCAGAGGTTTGTTGATGTAGTCGTTCTTGTTATCAAACCGGGAACTATGCCGGCAATTACATCCCACGGTGACGGACACCTTACAAACGCCTAGCCAGATAGGAGCTCCTCTGAGGACTGCCATGCCATGGTGCCACCTCCAGCACCATGCCAAGCAGAGCTGATGGACTGGTTCAGTCTGTAACAAGGCATGTGCCAGTTGGGGCCAGGAATCCTCCAGCCACATGTTCCAAACACTGATGGCAAAGGGACTCTTTGGAATGCATCAAAGGGCTGTGTCTTATAGCCATTGTGCCACTTCTCTCTCCACACTCTCCATCAGATATGGTGGGGGAGAGGGGAAGTGGGCCTGACCTCTATCCACAAAGATCAGACGTCGGACCAGAAGGCTGTGTGCTCAGATCATGCTCGAGTCCTAGGCTGCTGCTTTGTTAATTTCCCTGCCTCCCAGCCCAGGAGGTTTGTGCTCCCTTCTCACAATGTGTGTGTGTGCGGGAGGGATGCTGGGGGCGAAGGAACCAATTTTCACACAGCTGGTCCATGCCAGGGTGACGTCATCCTCTTTCGTTGCTCCATTGAGCCAAAAGCGAGAGGGTTTGCTCCACTGGTGTCCCTTAGCGCTTGTATCAACTGGGTGGGAAACACACTGATGAATGAATAACTACATCTGTCAGTCAGTAGACAACAGGCTAACCCCAAAGGCAGGCTGAGAGGGCAGGAATGAGGGGAAAGAAAAATGGCCAGATAGGAATTGCACCTGCAGCATGGTCAGGTGCCTTACACACTGAGTCACTAGCCTACCACAAAACCAGCCTCTCCTCCACCAGATGGGCTCATAGGATAGGAAGCCAGACTTTCCTTGCTCTCCCTGAATACAGTTCTTCAGTCAGCTAGGGCATTAGCTGCTTTGTGCAGGGGGTTGGACTAGATGACCTCCTGAGGTCCCTTCCAACCCTGATATTCTATGATTCTATGATTAGGTGCCAAAAGCCAAGGTCTTCGTCACTGTTCCCTGCCGACAAGGTGACCACGGCTATTTTCCCAATCAAGAGATGGGACAGTTTTGTGGGGACAGCTTTAGGGCCTGAACTAGTTGCTGACCAGTAGGGTTACCAGATAGCAACTGTGAAAAAAAGGGACGGGGGTGGTGGGTAATAGGTGCCTATATAAGTCCCCAAAAATGGGACTGTCCCTTTAAAAACGGAACATCCGGTCACGCTACTGACCAGATAACATTACACTCAATTGAAGTGTGTGTCACTAGCAGGAATTCCAACTGCACAGGGAGTGGAAGAGTGGAAGCTGGTTTCCAGGAAAAAGTTTCTCCTGTCGCCCTCACCAGCGGTGGTTAGCGTTACTGGGGTCAACCAAGCACCTCTGCTAGCACGGTCTCAAGAGAATTTTTTAATTTTCTCCAAACACTGTTCAGCTGACTGAGCCCTCATTCCCCTGGACTGTTTGCTCCTGGTGAAGATGCAGCAAATGCAACTGGTTCCAGAATGTATGTAGGAGACCCATGTGAACAGCTGTGAAGGTTTGGATTACTGACATGACAACGCATCAGGCATCCCAAATTCAGCTGCTGTGTCAATGGGACATGATCTGACTAGCTGTGAGTTTCGGTGAAGAAGCAGGACTTATAGTGAGTTTGCCCTCATAAGGCATTGCAAACCCTTCCCAAAACACCCTGCACTAGACGGTGGCAAGTTGCACAGTGAGATAGCTACTCCTGGCGCGCTGCTCTCTGCATCGATGCAAGCGCTGCTAGTGAGGACGCACGCTGACGACACAAGGAGTGGAGGGTGGACAGGCAAAAGCAATTTAATTACCGTGGAGGCCGTACATCGACGTAACTTAGGTTGATTTAGTTTTGTAGTGTAGACTTGCCCCAAGTAGTCTGCCAAAAGGCTGTACTTTCCCGCCTGCATGTAGCTGGAGCTAAGAGTCTCCCTCAGGGGCTATTGATGGGGTGTTGTTGAACTGCAATGGTCTAGTTGTTTCTTCCTCCTCCCTTTGCCTGTGGGATGAAGGAGGCTGAGGCTGGGTAAAGGTTTAGTGCAGTTTGGATGCTGTATTAACTCCTTTCCCCACAGATCAGTGTGCAATGGGGGATTTGGTTGAAGGCGCCAGGAATCCTCTAGTCATGGGCACCAAGCATGACCCTCTTTGCAGTGGAGAAGTGGGTACAAAGGGCTGCTTCTAATGCAGTCAGTGACTCTTCACACCCTCTCATTTTCCTGTGATTGGGAAAGTGCTTTGCCTGACTTCTAGCCACAAAGGCTAATGGGGTCAGAGAGGGAGAGTACTTGTTGGAGATTCTCTCCAAGAGGCCAGAGGCAAACTGGCAACATCAATGACCTTGTGACACAATGTAACATGTCTCACTCCAGATCAGAAAGTTGTGTGTCCAAATCACACCAAGGTAGTGTGTTTTCTTCTGCTGCTTTGTTCTTTCGTTTTTAAAATTTCCCTGCCTCCCATGCCACCTTGGTGGTTGATACAGTCTCATAAGAATATAAGAATGGCCATACTGGCTCAGACCAAAGGTCCATCTAGCCCCGTATCCTGTCTTCCAACAGTGGCTAATGCCAGGTGCCCCAGAGGAAATGAACAAAACAGGTAATCATCAAGTGATCCATCCCCTGCCCCCCATTCCCAGCTTCTGGTAAATAGAGGCGAGGGACACCATCCCTGCTCACAGTGTTCATGAGGTGGGCAGGGGCACAAGGGGTGGGGTGAAGGTACCAGTCTTCCAGGCTGTGAGCTGGGAAGCGATGTCATCCTATCCATCACCCCACTGAGCCGAAAGCAAGCACTTGCTAACTGGGAAATAATTCATAAATGAATAACTGCATATGTCCATCAGTAAATCCTAGGCTAACTCAAAAGGTGGGCTGCTAGGGCAGGAGTGAAAGGGAAGGAAAGCCCTCACAGGCATTTGGGATTCCAACCAACACTCTTCAGAGCTAAGGAAGATCTCTGTGAAGCTCAAAACCTTCTCCCACCCACCAGTCGATGATGGCCCAATGAAAGAGACGTTGCCTCTCTCCACATTTACAGTCAGACAGCTTCCCAGGCAGGCTGTTCGCTCAGTTGCATTAGCACAAACGAAGAAACATATTGCAGATGTAAAAAGCCCTGAGAGCTTTAACTGCTGAAATGAAAGCACCTGAGCGTTCAGGGATCTTGACAGCAGTTCCTGGGTCACCAGAATGTGATCTGAGAGGCTGCGACTTTCCATTAAGAAGCAGCAAATGGTGCATTTAGCTTAAGACAGAAGCAGGAGAGCTTTTCCCTGGTCTCAAACCAGGAACCTTTGGCATGCAAGGTAAAAGTGATAGTCACAGCAGTACAACCACAGGGCAGCTGCTGTGGGCTCAGAGATGCACTCTGCTGGAGGGGAACACATGCTGTTGTTTTGGTCTATTCCACCCTCTCCTACCCCTAGATCCCCTTATGATTCCACTAACCCACCAGCCTCCCCTGCCAAACAAAGCTGGCAGTGTTAAGACCCAGCATTAACAGAAGCACCTCGTTATGTGCCCAGCCTGCACTGACAAGCAGCAGGAGTCGGGAATGAAGTTGGTGTGAGGAGCTGAAATTGTGTGAGGGAGGGACACTCACTCCTTGGCCTCCTTCAGGTGATGGCTGAAGGGTCCTGTGTAGAGCATTGGTGGCTCAGGGGTAGAAATCTCGCCCACCCAGCATCAGGCCAGCTCTGGTTCCTGGCCAGCACACTGGGCACTCCCAGCTCAGTGTTGATGCCTCCAGTTGTCTCCAAGCTGTGGTGGTCTGGAGAAGCGTTTGTATTCTCCTCTTTGCTTCTCCAGCTC